CTGGTGGCCCTTCCCTTCCCTTCCCTTCCCTTCCCTTCCCTTCCCTTCCCTTCCCTTCCCTTCCCTTCCCTTCCCTTCCCTTCCCTTCCCTTCCCTTCCCTTCCCTTCCCTTCCCTTCCCTTCCCTTCCCTTCCCTTCCCTTCCCTTCCCTTCCCTTCCCTTCCCTTCCCTTCCCTTCCCTTCCCTTCCCTTCCCTTCCCTTCCCTTCCCTTCCCTTCCCTTCCCTTCCCTTCCCTTCCTTCCCTTCCCTTCCCTTCCCTTCCCTTCCCTTCCCTTCCCTTCCCTTCCCTTCCCTTCCCTTCCCTTCCCTTCCCTTCCCTTCCCTTCCCTTCCCTTCCCTTCCCTTCCCTTCCCTTGGAATCGATTGCAAATTGGATTGAGAACTATACTGGCAGTTATGTCCATTTTTTTCTGTGTCTACATTTTCTGGGTCCCTAGATGCCATCAGCAAAACTAAAGCAAGTATTTGAAAAGGCTAAGAAATGCCAGTCTCCCACTACAAGCTGATTTGTTGCATCTTTTCCACCATATTATGTGAAAATCTGTCTTTTTTAAAGAAGAAAAGTCATTATTTTTATCATCGGTTTGGTACTGGCTTCTGCCACCCCAACAGCTGTCACTCTTATCTAATTGGCCATTTTGGAACAGGAGAGGAGGTTCTATTAAGAAAAACTTGCAGAGTGATATGAAGTGAGTCCAATATTCCATTTAATTAGTCCAAAGTAATTGTTTTAAAAACATTTTGCATCTGCCTATTAATGGCAAAAAAAAATAAGTTTCTTAAGCAGTCAGTCTCAGGCTGAGTAATTCTGGCATAAAAACTAAAGTTCTACTGATGACTCAAGGAAATCATTCTCTTTGAAAACAATTCTGTTCATGATGAAAATAAGTTCATTTGGATTTTTCCTTCTTTATATCTATGTGTATAATCAGAAAAATAAGATATTCATTGAATGAGTAATTAAATATTGTATGATTTGTTGCTTAGTCCAATTAGGTAGAAAAGTTGAAGCTGCTTGGCATGCTGGCCAAGAGAAATGCAGATCTTACCAGCAAATGTGCTACTGCTGTTTTTAAAAGCTGCAGTTAGTGATGTTAGTTTCTTGCCTCTTTGCAGTTTATGCCTGTGAACTACTTTCCTGGTATATGTTATTTAGGACAGTGGCACAACGTTAAACTCTGCAGTGTTTGGCTGCAGATTCAGGCAGTTAGGACAGAAGCAGTGAAACAAAATCAGGCTGTTTGAATAGACATAGGATGAATATGAATTCAGGTGAAAAGGGACAGGTTTGAATGTGTCTTATTAAGCAGAGGCAATATCTCAGGTCAGCACAAGCTTGTGCTGTGACTAAGAGATAATCATTTAGGGCCTTTACTTTTGCATACACAAACCTATATCTGCTAATAACTGCATACAAGTACCTTTACACCTGCACATATATATCTTTATTTGATGATAGCTTGATAACTCAGGGTGAACATTTATCCAGACAACTACACCAAAATTAAAGAACTGGAAGCATTTTCACTTGAAATTTTTATTGAACTGGGTAATATTGCAGTGCAGACACAAAAATGGTGCCTCATACTCAGGATCAGATTGAAGCCTCTTACAAAAATAATGTTGGCATGTAGGAACTCCAATATTTTAACTCAGCATGGCAAGCTTCAAGTGGCTGTATAAGTGTGTAAAAATGTTTTTTTTCCAGCACTAGCTTAGGGAGGAAAATTGCCCTCAGTGTGAAGCCCTGCATACTGTTGTTATTATAGGATTGTTTTCCTTTTTATTTCTAAATTAAGTGTTCTTTGGAGTAATGTATGAGTTTTTTGTTCTTTATTGGCATTAGTTGGAGTCATGAATACCATTTCTTTGAAGTTTGAATGAAGAATGCAGGCCACCTTTTTAACTACCTATAGTTTAGGTCAGAAGAGCCATATTTGAAAATAATTTAAAAACCATATATTTTTTTGTTGTTAACACAAGCATAGGATCACTAAACATGAAGTAGAACTCAATTTGCACATTTATCAATATGCACTATGTTACATGAGCCTCAATGACGCTGTTCTGTAATCCTGTAAGGGCAATATTTCCAGATTTCCTTCAGCACAAACTGTCTCCTACTGTAGAGATGAAAATACAGCAATCTATTTCTGTACAGAGGCATTTTCTTTCATAAACCACATAATCATATGAGGAATAACTGGGAGGAAAAAAAGGAAAGGAAAAAGATGAATTTCCACATAGAGTACAAAATTTACATAAGTTATCTTGGTAACTTAAACACAAAGAAAATAATTCAGATCTGAAGAGAAAACAGAGATGTAACCCTATGTTTACTGCCTACCCGTGCTGATTTTGGAAGATCATGCTACAGAGTCTGTTCTGCAGATCTTTAGTCTGCTTTTTAGACAACCAGAGTTTCACACATAGGTTGCTGTAGCCTTCTGCTGCATAAAAATATTACCCTTTTCAAAAATGCAGAAGAGAAAGTGAGTACAAATTATATTATTTTTCTTTTTCTCCTTTTAGATAAGATGTTTTTAAAAGATGAGTGACTCAAATATTTATCAAGGGAAATATCAATAAACTTTTCCACTAAGCCAGAATAAACAGGTTTATAAATTTACATTATTTATCAGTGTGGAATTCACTTCTGTCTCAAGGCTACTGTAACTTGTATACTTAGACTTCATTTCACTGTCAAATTCCTCTTTTAATATTAGGTAAGTTTGGAGTCACCACCCAAAATCCTGCCTGAAGAAAATTAATTAAAATTATCTGAATCAGTTTGTGCAATTCTAATATTCAATAACAAAGATGGAATTAAATGTTTTCTTAGGGACTAAAATTATACTCTGTTTCTCTCTGCTTCTACTTTCCCTGACAGTCAAGAGAAGAACTTCAAATAACTTTCTGAGGTACCATCCGCATTCTGGAAGGCTTTTTCATTTTATATAGCTCATGAAAACAGAAGCTTTTAAGTGACATTACTTTGAGGTTCAAGTCATAGAGTTTCCCCTTTCTTCCATTCTCTGTCTTGCTATCTTTCTGACAGTTAAGCCAACAAAATGTTGAAAAACTATTTCAAGTGATTCAGCCATATTAACTTCTTTAAAGGAACCCTGGACTGCATGGACGGCCTGCTTGTATGACTTCAACTTTTTTATCCTTGAATAAATTGAAAGATAAATTACATGATAACATGATCTAAGTAAATCATGTAGTAAGATATTAATTCTACGTAAATGACCACAGACAAAAAACAATGGGACACTGCATGAGAAACACAAACCTGGGTCCATCGACTGCCTGGGTCATCTGTATCACATGGGACTCACACCAGAATCAGATCACAGCAAGATAGTTATTAAATTCTTACCAAAGTTCAAAACACCTTACAAAAATTAATAACATAGCTAATAATTATATTCAATGATTTCTTCCAAAATACAATTATTCTCCTCTTTCAATGTCTCAGTATGACCAGGTCTGTGTCACTGACCCAATGAAAATTATCTCATCTGAAGGCTTTAAAACTTTCTCAGACAAAAACAAAAAAGAAAAATGTCTTAAGTTTTGTAACAAAAATAGTTTTTAACAAGCCCTAATTGTCTACAAGGTCAAGTTCTGTCACACTGTGAATGAAAACACCCTTGCAGAGTATATGCACTCCCAGAAAACGACTGAAAACCAGTCTAGTCTGTGGAATATGCCTTTAGCGCATACTGTAATGAAGCAACAATATGCAGTTTTGATCAGCTGTATTTTCCTATTGATTTTCAGGTATTGGTTAATAAAAATTATATATCAATAAACTAAAGCTGATATTCAAGAGTCAGCATTCCAATTCACAATGTAAAGGAGAAATGCTTACCCTTTTTGTCCTGGTTAATTCAGATCAGTCCATGCAACAGAAATAGTGGCATAACTTGTACCTCATCTAAATAGCTATTAATACAGTCCTCCGCTGTACACAGGATTTTCAGAAGAAATAATTTCCCCCCAGTCATCAGAAAAAGAGTGTTACCTCTGTCTTGTCTAGAGTGCCTTTCACAGAACTCATTCAAATGCTATATAAATCCTTCAGCACTTTTGCTTTCTCTTGATGCACCTTCTCAGTTTCATTTAAGTTAGAGGTAGAAGTGAATCAAATTGGAACAAATCAGGACTGACAAACAAGTAATTTTTTTTCAACAGTAACTGAAATAAAACTCTGTAAAAGTAACAAGGTCTCTCTGCACCAAATTAAAAATTTTGCTAGATCTCTGGAACAAAGAGAATCTCACAGACCCACACTTAAGGAATGGCTTGTGTTGTGACAACACTACTAACTATCTAATGTGTTTCTCTACCAGTTTACCAGTCAGTAAAAATATCAGGAAATAATTTTATTAGATTTGAATAAATTTTGAGAAGTCTAGAAGAATTGCCTTGATGCATTCATCTGCTGTCCCTCTAAAAATAAGAGATGGATGAAAAATGAAAAGAGGTCCATATACCATCAACATCAAAAGTCAGGTTTTTTTCTCTGGCTGAGAAGTTTCCCTGTTTATGACACCATTATCCAGACTGTCTGAATGAATTCAGCAAAACTATTATTTCTGCTGTTATTCAGCAAGCAAGCACGGAGCTGCCTTTTATTCATCATCTAAATCTTTTAGAAAAACACTTTTAGAAATCTATTGGAGGTTATTATCTGAAGGTCAAGTACAACAAATGTTTGGTACCCTGAAGGACAGTAAGGCTCTCTGTGGTAGAGTTTTTTAGTAAAACATCTGTCAACATTCTTTAACTGTGAGTACAGAACTCAGATAAATCAGTCTAGTGATTTTTATTGTTTCAAAATCAGCTAGAGAAGAAATATAAATAAAGACAGAGCAATCAGTTTTTCAGTAATTACATTATTTGAGAAATCTTCAAGTCCATTAGCTCATAATATTTTCTGCCATATAGCACCCATGGAAGATAGTTACTGACAGGACCACAAGGACAGATGTCCAAATTAAGGAATACTTTATTTTCATTGGTTTACTGAAGGTAAATCGCGCCAGAACAAGCATTTATCTGATGAATCTGCAATGCTGTACTGAACATGAGAAATGTCTGCTTTTAGTCCACATATTTTAACTGTCTACTTTGGGGTGAAAAAAATCATGTTGATGCAATCCCACTTAGCTCTATTACCTATGAAGGGAATCCAGGGTGCTAGGTCAGTCTTTCAGCTAAACTACAAACATTATACCAAGATCAAGGGTTCATTGTTCAAACAAGCAACGTATGAAATATGATTTTAAGAAGCACATGTGAAGATTCCACACTTTATTTAATGAGTTCCTTATTAGTCTCACTATGGTACTCAAGGGTACTGTTCTACTAATTTAAGGTGCAAACCACATAAAGATGATGAAGATTTATTCTGCTTGTTCACCTGAAAGCTGATATTTGAAACTTTAATTTAGCAATTTTTCACACTTCCATTTTATCTGTATTAGATATTCATTGATATTTTATCACAAAACTAATAAGATTTGGGTGTTAAGGTTCAGCACTGAAAAGTCTGTTTTTCTATCATATTTCATCATCTATTTCATCAACATTCTTTTGTTGTATTCCACCTTACTGTCAAAATATAGCATCATAACATTACTCCTTATGTGAAATTTAGTGAGTGAAAAATTGAAAAATGGAACATATATAATAACAGGCTTATATAAAATAATTTGATAAATCATGGTGGAATGTACATGCTACAAGCATTTGTACATCCACAAAATAAAAATATATTCAAAGGATTTTGTGTTTAATATTCACAATGGGTTTTTTACAAAATAAAGTATTTCACTTTGCATGCTAATTAGGTTTCTCTAAAAATTAACATTTTAAATCATTGTTTGAAATTATGCATATTTTCTTATGTCCCATATCAGAATGAAATTCTGTAGAGCAAACTTTACTTCTGTATGCTGCTTAAATGTCAAAAAACTGGTTAGGATGGAAATATTGAATATTTTCTTTGCTGGTTTTGGACAATAAAATATTAATTAATTTTAATGTATTTATAATTATGATTGTCTGGCAAAGGTATGTTTCTCAGTGACAATGGAAATTAGTCAAATGATTAGTACTTTGTGCTGTTGCCCCTGTTCTTTTTTTTTAAATGTAGTTCTCATTCCCAGGTGGCTATTACTCATTAGGTGCAGACATGTGCATGAAATACTCTTTTATTCCATAAACTTTTAATACACAGTTTGAGACCTGAAGGAACCTGTGATTAATCACTTACTAATTGGATCATTCCTTCACTGACAATAAGTTATAAACTACATAAAAGGCACTCAACTGCATTGTTTGTGAGATCCAGGTTCCTCTAGGGAAACAGCACATTTTTCAGTAAGACAACCATCACATACAGCAAAAATGCTGTTCCTTATTCAAATGGAAAATGCACTCAGTTGCACCATACTATCTTACACAACAATCCTCGTTGCTAGCAAGAAGAAAGAAAGAAAAAAAAAAAGGAAATAAAAGATATAGAAATATTTCTGATCAAGTTTATTCATTAAAACTCTAATTCTTCTTTTAGGCGAACTTACACCACTCCCACTGGCTCTACCGAAAGTGAAATATTGGGATAAATTGTTTAGAATTAGGCCCAAATATACAAATTACTTGATTCTCAGCATAATGAGAATGACATCCATAAAAATGCTTTGACAATATACAAAGATGAGATCAGATCTTGCATCTCTTATCTTTGAATCTGAGGATGAATATATCCACTAAATTCAGTTTTACAGGCTAGGTAGGTAGAAAGAAACATTTGGTTATGATACTTTATGTAACTATAAACGTGTGTGTGGATTCAAGGTGAGCCAATTCTGTGATAGCACCAAAGACTGTAACAGAATAGTTTAGATAAGAATGCTTTTCGTTTCTGTAAAAAAGTATTTATCTGTATTCACTTCAATATCTTAATATCTTTCTCTGCTGCAGAAGCAGGCTTGTGCACTATGCAATCAGCCTCCCAATAACTGTGTTCAATGTTCAATTACTTTAAAGTTTAGTTTTTTTCTAATTAGAGGTAACTGCCTTGAATTAAACCTTGGTGGCGTCTTACTGAAAAGCTGCAGAAGAGTGGATTTAATTTGTGTTTGCATTGGGCCTCAACATAAATTATTTGATGTGGTTAAAAGTGTAAAAATACTAAATTAATGTGGAAGTATTCAAGTAACAATTTTAAAGCACTTACTAGCAAATACATACTCCAGTGGAGAAGCTTACAGCAAATTGTGTTTTTTCCTTTTTATTTCTCTGGAATTTTCAGGTCACGCCAGAGATGCACGTGTGCACACACATACATTGATACCGAATGCATGAATAGAATTCAACTAGAAAGGACTTCCCATTGTTTTTAAGACCTCTGAATTCATTACCTTATGAGCTCATCAGTCTAGGAAACAACATACCTCTACTAACAATAAGGGGCAAAAAAAACCCCCAAAAAACTCTTATTCACCAATCTTTGGGGATTTCCATGTTATTATACACCCCTAGAAAGAGAGCTGAAAATTGAATTTGGAGCAGGGGTACATGACAGGATATTTCTGACTAAAATTTCTGCTTAAGCTACCAAGCTAGCCTCACTGTGTTGAGGCCACTGAGCTATTGCCATTCTAGAGTATTGCTTTGCTGGAGGTTTTGAAGTATTGGCAGAAGGAGCTAACGGAGGCAGCCAGGAGATTGGTGCTGGCTCAATTAATTGAAACATCTAAAATTGATGAGTGCTGTCAAGAGCTCACTATGAGGATGGCTTCCAGAGGAGCCTAACGAAGTGACTGGAAGCGATCAAGGTTATTACAGGAGCTGAGAAAAATGGCTGAAAGCAACAAAAAGCAAAGGAAGAGCACAGGGTACAAAAGTAGAACAATACTTGTAAATCAAATTATGCATTCAGGAGTGGGTAAGATGCTGATGGAATTGAAACACTGCACAGTAAATATAATTTTCTACTTATCAATGAACAAGGTATCACTATCATGAAGAGATAGCATGATCCTTGCTTTTTACATATGCTTAATGATAGCATATGTATGTTGATATTTTATTTCTGGCTGAATTTCCAAAACAGCAAAAAAAAAAAAAAACAAACAAAAAACCAAACAACAACCCATTAGTACATTTTGGTTTTCTTTTTTTCCAAAGATGCCATGCTGAATATATCTTTCAAGTGTTATAAGCAGTTGTGATCTCACTGCAGAATGTGCTTGGCTGAGTGAAAAAGCAATAGTGGATATTTTACAAAAATAATTAAAAATAAAATATAGGCAACATGTAGCAATATATGAGAGAAGGAAAAGGGCTAAAGCACACAGAATGAAAGGCAGAGAGAGAGAGACAGTGAAGATGTGTTACCAAGCAATCTAATCCTTTGGATGACTACAGAAATAACAACCTGTTTGCAGGTTCCATGGGAGTCCATGGGAGCCTGAAGATTGATTATGTGTCCTACTTCCTCTGTGCTTCCTGTGCTGAGAATGTCTTTTCAAACTGCTGATTTCACAATCTACGAAATGGCTGACGAAAGGGGTATTGGCTGTAATCTAGATATAAGATTGAAAGGTTCAGAAACCACCTTGAGAACATGATAAATATTTCTGTTTCTCCCAGCACTTCAAAGAAGCGCAGTCACTGAAGAAGTGAATTCCTTGATTGATAACAGGTAGTTCACATTGCATGAGCCTTCGCTTTACAGCTGAAACAAAGAGACATAAAACTACAAGTCCTGGAATAAGATTGATCAAGTCGAGTCAATGAATTTTCTCAAAACACATGTATTTGCCCTGTTCAGCAGACAAATCCTCACTCAGTGAAATTCACTGTGATACCCGTATGAAAATCCTTCCCAAATTTTCATGAAGGAAACACAACCATAACATCCACTAGATGAGGACTTGGCATAAGACTTTTTCTTGAATTGTTTGACCCAAGTTTTCAATGAAATTGCTTCTTTCCATTATCCTTTCCAGATACTGCTTAAACTTACAGTAACATTTAGACTTGTATGCTGCTTCTGTTTGTTGGATAGGTTGCTTTTGGGTGTTTTGTTATTTTGTTTTGTTATTCTTGGATTGAGAATATTTGATACTTTGCCAGACTATTTGCTGGATCAGTCTCCTTCTTTTATTAGACCTCGTGGTCATTGTTTAAATAATAATGTGTTTAACCTTTAGAATGAACTCTTTGATCTCTCTGACTAGATTTTGTAATCCTAAATGCATCAAGGAAGAGGAAGAAAAATGTTCAGTATTGGCCAAAGAATTGAAAAGAAACTAGAGTGTTTCAGAAGTACAATAATACAATATAGCAATCTGTAACAGAGTACCAAAACACAATTCTGTGTTATCTATATAATACTGTTATGTTACTAAATTCATATCTAACGTACAAAAAAATTGTTAAGTATCCTGGAATTAATTGTGGTTGGACATCTTAAAACATATTACGTGTTTTAAAATCTTCTTCAAAAAAACCTTTATTTCAGGAATTAAGGACTTTCTTCCTCAAAAATGTGGTCATATCTAACTTTCAAATTAAAAAATTTAACAGGACTGCTGATTTTTTTAACCTTAAGGAAAAGTGACATATTCATTGTAAGCATCATGTCCTCAAAAATGACACATTCAGTATGCAGTAAAAATATCTGATTGATTCATTTGAAATGTATAGCTGGAAATAATATTATGAATTGAAACTATATTCAGAAAAGGGCTAGTTTTGATCAACTAGATTTTTTCATAACACTTGAGTTATTTAATTTGATATTTAAATTATTAAATTGAATGAGACAGAAAGAAATAGAAAAATAAAGTTTCAACACTGAATTTTTAATTTAAAATGGACATTTTCCAAGATTCCATTTTACATTAATGATTTAGCATTTTGATTTTGCACACAAACCTGGGAAAAGTAAAATGTCATTAACCAGAGTTCAAAACAATTCTCTTGATGGTCTTACTTGTTGTCTTGAATAAATCTGTAGGCACACAGTTTGTAGTAATTGGAAGTGAGGCTATGGCCGACCCTCATCCCCAGTGGGCCACAGCTGTGCAGGGCAGGTGAGCAGCACTGACAGCAATGAGCCATGGAGTGCCCAGGAGCACTGACCAAACACCAAAGGGAACAGAGGGCACACAGGTACCATGCATGAACCATGAGGGGTATAAAAGGCGGGGCTAAAGAACAAGAAGGGCAGACTCTTGAAGCCTTCTGAAGTGGTGTGGTGTTATCTGTATGGGTTGAAGCTTTCTGAATTTGTATGATGGAACTTTGTGTATTGTGGCTGTCTCAACTGTGACTTATGCTATGCCATTAATTAATATTTTTAATTGGAAATTTTCCAGTCATGTTCACTATTATAATGCTTATGAGTTCATTTTCCAGACTGATAAGAAATCCTTGTAATGGTTGTATTACTGCAGTTGGCAGAATTCTTTAATCAGATTCCTTTAGCAAAAATGTAACTTCATTCTCCTAGAAACTGGTGTACAGACATTCCTGAAAAAACATGCAAGATTGCATATGAGAAACATGCTTTGCTTGATTCTGTTTACATTAGAATTGAAGCTATCCTTGTTGTGTCATTACTACTCTTAAACAATTTTAATAATTGATAATGCCATAGCTTTTTAAGTTTGGTCTAAAGTTTCACTGTGATCTGTTATAAGTTTTCTACTGACTTCCCTGGGATACCAGTAGGGAAAAATATTACATATTTAGTAGATCTCAATAAGATATAATATTCAGAAACACTGTTCAAATAGTTTTAAAAAATATTAAATCACATAACTTGTAATCACATAAAAATATTGATTCCACAGGGCCATGATCTTTAATCTGAGAATTCTGAAATACTTGAGGCAAAAGGAATTTAAAATGCCATGAATAACATGTAGAATATACTGTTGTATGTGATATACACTGAGCATCTATAGATGTTTTATAGATATATGAGGGTATGGAGGAAAAGAGCAAACTCATAAACAGTGCATTTCAACAGACCTTCTGTGAGTTTATAATGGCAGATTACTAGTAAAATACCAGTTTTGCAAATGGAGCATTTCAAGAGACCTGAAACTGAAAAACAGTTGAAGGTGTCTGTAGCTTACACGAGAAATTAACAGTTCCTATGCAGTGTGCTGAGCAGTGTGTGAAATCACTTCCCTCTGAGTTATGAGGGAGGTGAATTAGGAATGCAAAACATGTAGGAGATTTACATTTTCAAAATTAAAAAAAAACCAAGAGTTTTAATAATGGTCCAGCCTGTAAATAATTCATTAGTTGCATAGAAAAATGTTCTGACTTTATTTCCATATGCTGTTTATAAATATATTTTTATATGCCCTATATAAGGAGCAGTGCAGAGCACTCAAGAGAGATTATTTTTTGGCCTTTATCATTCTGGGTGATTTCCTTGCTCTAGGACCATGAGAGCGGGAACTGAACAAATATATTGTAAGGTCTCATGATTTTGTCATTGGCTGAACCAGCTGAGATCAGCTACTCGGTCAAGGTCTTGTCGCTGTTCACTGCTTCTGTTGGGAGTGGGGGCGGGGGGAAAGAAGAGGGTATGAATTGGAAGAAAGAGATGGTATTTGGAAAAATAATTTACCTGGGAGTAGATGAAAGGTGGAAGTAGGTGTGTGCTGGAGGGAGGAGGAGGGAGCTGTTGCCTTGAGCTGAGACAGCACAAGGTCTCTGAAAGGTTATCAGACCTTGTGGGTGAGTGCCGGAAAACAGCAGAAGTCACAGAGGCAGAACATTTTGCAATGCTTTATCAGACCAGAGATTTCATTAGAAATATTCAGCTTTGCTCAGTGCTGGCAGCTCTTCTGTCCCCAAAATGAAAGCCATGCTTTGTGAAGTATTGGGTACTCCTAGCAACTTAGGGTATAAGTCTAGTGACACAGAAGCACAGAATTCCTAGAAATATCCCAAGTAATGACTCTATGGCCATAATTAATTCTTAATGGTGAGAACATTGTAAAGATAAAAACATGGGTTTCTTGAGAAGGTTGCAATATGCAGGGAAGAGACTGTAAGTTGATGCCAAGTGCACATAAACAACATCTATCAACATTACATTTAAAACAGTTGTGTGATATGCAGGTTTGTTATTTGGACAGACAACCTGACAGCAGAGATTGATGCACCTATCAGAGAAGAATAAGAATATAAATCTCTGTCTTATCAAAAGGAGAATGCAGGGAGCAGATAGGGCTGAAGTGGTAGACGTAATCTATTTAGGTTTCCAAGAGACATTTGACATTGCATGGGACAATAGAGTAATATATCTTCAGGTTAGCATGTAAGGCACAGAAGACTTTTTCTTTCCAGGTTTCTCAAGCTCCAAAGAAGTACATTGATTCCCAAGTGCAGAACATAATTTCTTCACTCATTTTCCCCTCAGTCTTTTTGTTTTTCTGCTCCTTGTATTCTCTAGAAAGCTCTTCTAGAAAACCTCCTTCTGTACATCTTCCAGTCTTTGTCCCTTTGTACTGTATTTATCTTTTCTGTTTCCTTTTATTTATCCTGACTCTTTTTTACATAACACAAAAGTGCATTCTGACTCAGACTGATTGATGCTGTCTTAGCATCCTGAGTCTACCAAGTAAAGAATGGGGATGAGCCAGCCTCCCTTGAGGCCTGAGAAATACAAAAGCCCCATAGAATATTACCAAATGGTGACTTCTCTAGGGACTTCTCTAATGACTTTCTTGAGATTTATCAGTGATCAGCAATAGGGATTTTATACAAGTATTGAATAAGCTACTTAAGAAAAATTTGCATTCTAGAACTCTTACGAATAACAGTTCATAAGATATGCAGACACAACGAGTAAACAAAAACATTAGTATTGCTAACAAAGGATCAGGTACTTGCAGCACTATTCAGGCTTCTGAATACCTCTGTGTAATCCCTTATTTATTACATTGTTGTCTCCAGGGATCCCATTCCAGGATGTTTAAAGGCAACATTTGGTCAAAACACAGGAAAGAGGAAATGTACCATCCTGAAATATATATTAATCCTCATACACTGCTACTTGCCGTCTTCTGCAGGTACATGAAAATGCCTTTGACATGTCACAGGAAATCCCTTGTGTCTGTATACATGCCCCTTTCCTTTGCAGTTGCATAGTAAAGCAAATCTGTCACTGAGACTGCATCAGTTCTAACAGCAGCCTCCATCAGAAGTTTAGAATGCAAAGTACAGACACATCTGTTTTACCTCAGGAGAATACGAAGTTGTCTTTGGCAGCAAGTAAGGCACTGCAATTTGGAAAGCAAGAGTCTGTAGCAATGCTGAGCAGTTTGGGGTTTGCCTTAAATAATCAGAACCAGTTTGCATATAATATGAGGCAGATCATTCCTCAGAACTCTCAGAGATTATGACTTCCAGGTCAATCAAACTTTCCAAGTCAATCAAACTTGCACAATCAAGTTTTCAATATCTCTGTGGATGGGGACCCTCTTTGGGCCGCTGTTCCATGTTTTTATGACCATCACTGTGATTTTTTTCTTTAAAGCCACTGTGAATTTCCCTTTCTGCAACTTGCATCTCTGCTTTTGTGCATTTGCTGTACACCTCTACCTCCTCCTTCTCCACAGTCCTACATTAGATAGGTGAAAACAGTCTTTCAGTCCTATAAATCTTCATGTCTTCAGAATGGATAAACACATTTTTCTCAGGATCTCTTTGGTTTTCAAGTTCTTCAGTCCTCTAAACTGTCCCTAAGGGTCCTTTTCTGGACTTAGTCCACTTTTCAATCTTTGCACAAGTGGTTCCAAAATGGGATGCAGAATAGATGTGATATCATAAGTGCTGAACAGAGGGGAATAATCATTTTGATTGACATGCTGACAGGTTGTGACTAGTGCAGTTCAGTGCATAGTTACCTTTCTTCTGCATAACAGACTGCATTAGTATATATATATATAAAATTTGTGACATTTACTGCCTGTAATACCCAGTTACTACTTAGAAAATTATTCACTAGGAAATGCACATACCAGAGTTGTTTGTAATGTAATTTCTTAAGAAAATTTTTACCTTAATGTAATTGCATATGAGTTCTAGGACTTGGCAGGGGAAATGTTTGCTTGTTGAAATAGTGTAAATGGATTTTTCGATCAGATAACACTTTTGAGTAATGAACACAAATGTAAAATATATCTTTAAAATTTTCTCAGTGCATCTCAGTGCATCTTGCTGCCCTTTAAAAAATGGTAATTGTTGTGTGAGATAAATTTCATATAAGTAGTGGAAACCCACTACTCTTTGCCAAATTTAGTCAGGAATTCTAGCAAAGATCAGCAAACTGATCTTTGGTGTCTTCTGACACAATATAATAATGGTACAGTCAATAACCATCAACATCAACAGGTGTATTGCTAATTGTGGCCACAGTGACCTATTCACACCTACACAGTTGGGCGGTTCAGCCTACATTTGCATTCTGATTTATGGAACTGTAAATTTACACAGATGTGGATGGCATAAGAAATCCAAGGATATGTTGACACAGGTGAGAAGAAAGGAAGAAACTTAATTTAAGGCAGAAAAATAAGATCAAGTTGTGCTATCTTTCAGAATTACTATGATCTTATAATCTAAAGACAAAGATCAACCTTGTCAGTACTGTTGTATAGAAATTTTTTTCTGCCATGGGTATTATATGGAAATGAAAAATAGAAAAATTGCTATAAGTAATTGTTATAAGTAATAAAAAGCAACATAAAAATCATATTGGGCCAAAACCAGGGGTGTTGACTTCACTGATTATATCACTTAAGAAAGGTGAATTTAGAATTTTAGGCTAAGTCTGCCCTATAAAACAAAACAAGACCAAGGCATAGTTGGGTTTAGTGACAGGAAACAATCTGTGGTATTAATTGTAAGGAAGCTCACAGGCATTGTTTTATCCTTGCTTCCTCATTTTTCCCGACAATAGTCAATATATTTGGGGGAAAATGGGTCAGTGGCTGTTCTTAAGATTGTTTCTAATAATATCTTTGCCTCCCAGCAGAGCAGGTAAATGAAGTGCAAGTAAACTGATCTGATCACAGATGCCCCTCTGTGTTCTGACCTATTATTAATTTAATAATAATAGTAATAATTTATACATTACATAATACTAAGAAATAAGTAAACTCAGCAAATAGAGTCCCATCAGCCTTAGAACACCTCATGGGCATAGCACCATTCTTCTGGTTTTAGTCTGGTTTTTGGCCTCAGAATTACAGAACTGAAGAAAAGTACAACTTTTTTCCATTTTTTCCCTGTAATCTCTCTGCCACTGGAATTCAGTATATTTTATTTGATGCCCATGAGAAGGAAAGGAAAAAATCTTCTTTATTATCTGTATGGTTCAGCTATGCTGAGAAGAATAAATGGTCCTAAATTTCTGGATGTAATAGAATGCAACATTGGCAACACTCACCTCAGTAAACATAAGAAGCCTCAGTATGGACTGCCTCACCTGATCTGGTCTGTTT